AAAATGTTTGGGGTAGGTTAGGTTAGGTTATCTGGTTTTGTTCAAGTGACCACCCTCTTTCGATCCCCCACCTCCACGCGCTTGAAAATATTTTTTTTATTGAATTTTATTTGAATTATAGTGTATGAAAATTGTCAAAATAATGAACTTTCAAGCCCCATAACTTTTTATGGGGGTGAGACCGCAGCAAATTTTTTATGGGGTTTTACTCAGGTGACCACCCTCTTTCGATCCCCCCTACCTTCTTTCGATTCCCTACTCCCACCCCCATAACATTTTATGGGGGTGAGACCGCCACGAATTTTTTATGGTACACTGATGGGGGAGACCTCCTCTTTCGATCCCACCCACCCCCACCCCTTCGGGGGTGAGGGCCATCATCTAGACATCTCTTTAATCTAAACTGAAACTAAAGTTGTACCTCTTAAGTCCTGTTTTTGCTTCTAAATATGTCTGTAAACAGCCCTTCATGTCTAAAAAAATCTTCTACCAGCCCGCCTGTCCTATTTATCGTTGACTTTCATACAGAGCGCTTTGTGTTCTCTCACTTTTTTAATACCTTCACATTTGTAACTTTTTTTGTCCACTATCGGTATTCTCTGTAGTACCTATTAACTTCAACATGATTTTCTCTGCTAGGATTTTATTACATTTTAATTGGAGGTGCACGTCTCCTTTTTGTTATAACGATTAATTTTTTTAGAAGTAGGTTACTAACTCATGTCCTAAATAACTTTTACCTAATCGGCATGCCAATTTTCTGTAAACCATTAAAAAATTGTTTGCATTCTAAAAATGACTCCAGCTTCTCATTATCGTGCTCCAAATTCTTTCAAGTCATTATTCTGTTCTTTAGCGATTTTCTGTCGCAATTAGCACCTCAGTCTAGATTTAGATTTCTCTCAAAAAATTGTTATTTAAATAACTGCTGCATAAAAATGTCTTAATTTTCTAAAGTAAAGCCTAAACTTTCGAGAAGCAGTTGTACTAACAGACATACAAAATTGATAAAGAATGCGATGTTCCTATACTTTTTTTGTAATGAACATCAAATTGACTATTTAATTGATTTGCAACAATTGTGCCAAGGTTGTCTGAAGTAACCGCTAAAATAATAATTGTAACAAATTGACTAATTGATTGTGGTTAATTACATAATCTACCTGTCTCTTTTAAACATTGCTATTACAAAATAAAAGAAATAATTTTTAGTGGGTAGGTAACCTTATAATAAGAATGCAATTTTTTGATTATAATAAGTCTAAATATTGTTTCATAGTAACATATTATAATTTATTGATTACAAATTATGACAAAAGGATACCAATGTTTATTATCTTATACGCCGAAAAATTTTGAAAAACTTCACGCCTATACAGAGAAAGGAGCTGGGTTGGTAAGGATCGATTTGACTTTTTTTTATTAATACAGATGGGAGGGTACTTTTTTTTCTAATGCATTCTACCTAAACGTGATTGTGTCTATAAGAGCTCAATCTAATGAAACTATATCCATCGATTAAAATTTTTTTTACCTCATTACTTTCGTAGTATTCGAAAACATCATCTTCAAATTCGTTATTATACTGATTCACACTACGACTTGGGAAGTCCAAAATTTCATTTTTGTAAGTGAAGGTTTAGGTTTGTTCACTGTTTACAACAATGTGGTCTAACATAATTAATACCCATTACAAACTACCTCAAATTAATGAGGGAAAAATTGTTGCTGTTGTCACACCCCCACCGGGAATCGAACCCGGGACCTTTGGCTTTACGCACCAATGTTCTACCACTAAACTACGAGAGGTGACAACAGCAACCACTACCAACCGACCTACAAGGTTAACGATCCGTCGTACTAATGTGACTATATATACTGAATATATTGAATACAAAATCTATTTTNATATATTAAATGAATGAAATCCTATGACATTGTTAGTTACTTAATAGTGGATCAATATGCAATATTAATTTTTGTGCAGGGTTTTCTGTGTATATTTGTTCCTCAACAAGGCTGTCTAAAAATTTAGAAGAATTCACGCGTCCGTTACTAAAATATCTTAATTTTCATTAATTATATTTTTATGGGATAAGTAACTTAATTGTTTTGGTGTTTATCTTATCTTTAATCATGGAATTATGGTCAAATATATAAGAATATGTGTGGATCGTTATTATTCTCTCGGAGCTACAAAATATGTATAAAACGCTATTAAATACACTTGATAAAGTTGTAATGATCAATTATGAGACCTTGAACTAATCGTGAAACAAACGAAATTCGAGCACGTACGTTTTTAGAACAAACTTATTTTGAATACTACGTTCATTGTTTTCTTTTATACATATTTCGTACGTAATTCCATTTGTTTTGTAATTGGCAATAAATTGGTTAAATTTAACTTGTGCACTGCCCACAAACTATTATTAGTTGACTAATTATAACATGATAATCAGTGTTATTATAGAAGATATGCGTGTATTACATCATCAGTCATGGTATTATTCTATTGTTATACTAAAATGCTTTCATAATTACTGTAATGTAATATTATGATTTACGTGACAATTTTTTTTCGTCTTTAATATCATAAATCTAAAAAAAGAAACATAAATAATTTGTTGCGATAAGTTTATCTCCTCCTTATGAATATTAATTTAATAATCATTCATAATACGACTTTTTAAGAACAATGTAATGCTTAATTTTTAGAATTTTGTGTAAACATGTTCTTGAACTATTTTTATTCGATTTATTTTTTATTTTCGTCCGTACTGTTAATAATGATGTTGCTGGATTTTATTTGCTTTGAAACAAACTATAAAAAATTAATAGCACGTAATGTTGGCATTGAAACAAATTTTTAACAGCAACAAATACGCTTGGGTGCAAATTTTTTTTTTACATAAATATTTCAGTTTCTTAACGTTTACATATTGTTGTACATACATTATTATAATACATTTTTATTTTAAGTCAAAAAAACTTTTATATACGCATTATAAATGAGGTGAGGCGGGGGGGAGAGGGGTCGGATCAAGATATACGGTACCTTTACGAGGGGGACGATGAGAAGTAGTCCCTAGGACAGCGACCTTTGAATTATGTGATTATAACAATCCATTTACTAAGTTTCAGACTTAGTAGTAATCACTTGACTTATCCTCAACGTCCATGTTGTTTTTTCAAATTTTTCTGAGCGATGCTTTTGGAATAAGGTGAAGGTAGGATTTTGTAAACGATTTAAAACAAAAATGCTAAGAAATAATACAAAGTAACGTGCACTTTGATTTCGTTAATGATAAAATTAATTTATATTAGTTGCCCATGAGATTATAAGCTTTTATTTTAGCTGTTATTGAATCGTTTAATTTTAGAAATATGTATTGTTTGAGTTGATAAGTTGAATAGTATCTGTTTATTAAGTTTTATAGTCTTTCAAATATTCATATTATTTAACTTGATGCGTAATTATTATGGGACCAGCAACAATATTTAAAACTAATAAAAGAACGTTATGTCGGATGTACGCGTAAATTTATTAGATAATTTTTCGTGAAAATAATTTATAATAACAGGGAGAAATAGGTATATAAAAAAGTCGTTAATGTATAATGCTTCCTTTTCACTCAATGGGTGGTCCAAAAAATATGTTTCCAAAAATAGAATAGAAAAAATGTATTAATTACAAATATTCAACCGATGTTTCGTCCACTAATGTGATTCCATAACTGAAATTTTAATTAAATGAAGAAATGGTAACTTTTTCATCCTAAAGGATTGAACTATAAGAATTTCTATTCGGCTACGAAATTCTAAAGATATCTTAGCTGTAAAAACTGATTACTAGAGATATTATTTTTAAGAAGAATGGAATTGAACAAAAAATTCAATTGGATTATGTTTTCTAATGTTATATTTCATTGAAAAATCTTTGATATTAACATTAATAGGATTTCTTAATGTACAAACGATTTTTAGATAGTTTTTCTTGAAAATAATTAAAAATAACAGGGGAGATATATAAAAAAGTTGTTGTATAATGCTCACTTTTCACTCTAGGGGGCAGGGGGATCTAAAAATATGTGTTCAAAATTCATATAATAGAATAGAATTGTAAAAATCTATTAATTACAAATATTATTATTTTTAAGAATGGAATTGAAACAAAAATTCAATTGGATTATGTTTTCAAACTTCCATTGAAAAATCTATGATATTAATATTAATAGTACAACTAGGTAATTTAATATATATTTAAAAAAGTTGTTGACATATGCACTGCAGCATCATCAGTTTTTTATTTAAGTACATGTATGTTTTTTTCAAAGGACTATGGAACTATGTGTTTCTTTTTTCCAATTTGTCCCTCTTCGTCCTGTTGCCTTTTGCCTATTTGTTTACCGAATCCGAAGGGTTCTTGGGACATCGCAAAGGCCTTATGGCCAGAGTTTACGAAACCTTCACCGTTCTGGGCCTACTGGCGATGGCCGTTGTCGGTACGACATATGTGAT